TAAATGTTATATATTAATATATATTAGTTATATATATACGTATAATATAATTATTCAACTACTCATTATATCTGCATTATTTTAATTGAATCACTAATGTATATATATATATACTTAGATAGGGCTGATTATTATTTAATTATACTTATGGAAAGTTATAGTGAAATAATTAACCTCCAGTATAATTAGCAGTGGAATTATATACATTTCTATATATAATGACGAATATTAATGTTTTATATGTGTTGTAATGATGATACCAATATGAAATTACATGATAGATGTATTATGTAATATGATAATTATGTAGTGTATTTTTATTATTAATATACAATAATACGTTTTGTGTGTATTACTTCTAGTATTATAGTATATAAACGCAGATATGTTATATAGATACACATATTATATATTTATATATACATTATATTAAGATAAATTCATATGAAGTTATTATAATATAATTTGATATATATATTATATAATTATAATACCTAATGATTATGAGTGTATAGTTACTCACATATATTGGTTGATTCCATTATAGGGTATAATTAAATATATTCAATTATACTATACTTTTTAAGGTAGGAAGACCTTTCTGATTATGTATGTTAGGGTAGAGATTGATGAGTGCCCTACAGTGTAATTAGGCATAATTATGTATAAGGATAACTGATCTGAGGTCATGTGGTGTGGTCGAGCTCTAACCTACGTCGACGTAATGGGACTAAGGGCGTGGCCTAAGTGCTTAGGTACTGAGCTAACTTAGATTTCAGATTATATTCTTACGTGACTTGGAGGATATCTGATGGATAAATACTCGGCACGGTCGTGAAGCATATATAAATGTAGGGTCTGTAGACCTGTGCTTATACACCTGGATATAGATGGGTAGTAGCCTTAGCTGATCCATGATAGGGTAGTAGCCGGTGAGTTCTAATGAGTCATTTATATATATAACCAATTCAATGTTTCTGTATATATTAGCTATTACTACTTGAGAGTAATAATTATTGCTAGTATTAGTGATAGTATAAGTATATGAACTATGTATAGATACTGTGACCATACTGTAGGTGAGATATATCTAGTGCTACGCCTGTGCTAATGGTGCAGGGGTCGGCTACAGTACTTGTATTATTATTACCCCCCAGTGAGGGAGCTAAGCGAGCGAGCGTAATAACCCGTGATACTTTATCCAGAAGGCTGGGTAATTTGTGGTCCCTTTTCAGGCGATTGCATGAGTTGCGGGGGTCGGCCTTACATATATTATATATATATATAAATATCATATATTATATTACATATTATATATATATATATAATATAATATAATAATATAATATATATATATATATATATATATATATATATATTATATATATAATATATTATATATATTATAATATATATATAATATATATATATATATACATATAATATATATATATATATATATATATATATATATATATGATAATGTTATATGTATTATATATGTGTGTATGTGTGTGTGTGTGTGATGTGTGTATGTGTTGTGTTTGTGTGTGTGTGTGCTAATAATTATATGTTATATTACATATATCTATAATTATATATATATATATATATATATATATATATATATATATATATATTATATATATATATATATAATTATATATATATACTTCAGTGTATATGTATCTGCACATACACACTTATATAAATGAGCAAATTTATATGTTTGTATGTGTATGCGTATCTATTCATACACTGTAAAGGTTCTTTTGTTTTAAATGCACTTCCGAGTAGGTCATTCACTTTCATTAAAATAAGGGGTACAGAATCATATCCATCACCATATGCATATTTACAAAGATATAGAAAATAACTATCACAAAATATCCGCGTCCCTGCGAGCGTGTCAACGGCCCAGGTGTCACGGGGCGTGTTCCAGCCTGGCGCTCCTCCGATTCGCTTCGGGCCACGACGAGAGATAGAGTATCATGGCGCCTGACGCCAGCAAATCCATAAATGTACATCTATCATGAAAAGACTGAAAACGAAGAAATAACTATGAATATATTAACTTTATCGTTAAGACCACACTCTATACCACGCTTTACGAATTAGCGTATTAATCACAACGTGTACTCACGAGGCGAGGGTCACAGTGCTCACTCGAACAAGTGGTATGGCAAAGTGACCGACTGAAAGGCGTAAAAAGACAAGGTGAGGCATACCTACGCGCATGCGCATTACAGTAAGGGGATACGGCGTAACTCATTATTATACACAGAAATCAACATAAATAAACCTTTTAACCTGTATAAATAATTAACAATATTTTAGTAGTATTTATTATTTTACTTCTAGGTTAATTGTATCAATTATTTATAACCCGATACCATAATTATATACAAACTCATACAATATAGTAAATATGTTATATAATCCCTTTACATACACACACGCACGCACAAAGACACACAGACAAATGCACACAAAGTTTGGATGCCCCGGGCACTCCTGGATTTTAGCAGTTTTAAAGAGATAAACTTTAATTTCTGCACTAAAATGTCAGTCACTTTTATTTAGTTTATACTTGCCATAGTGGTTGTTTCACTTTGAACGCCAGCCTTAGTTGTAGCTGCCCTCTCAGCTGCAGAGGGTCAGTGTTCTCAACCATCGGGTGACTAAGGGATTGTTTTTTTTTTTTTTTTTTTTTTTTTTTTTTTTTTTTTTTTTTTTTTTAGGGAATGTCCTCGAATGTTGAGGAATGGGAACAAAAGTCGGGTCCCTGCCCCCCTTTTCCTAGGCCTCTGTGTGTATACATATATATATGTGTGTGTGCGTATGTGTTTGTGTGTCTGTGTTTGTGTTCGTGCGCGTGTGTAAATGCATATGCGTACATACACATACAAACATACATACAGAAAGAAAATATTTATACATATGCTTGTATTTCTGGCAAGGATATATCCGAAACCGGTCAAATATATCTCTTGTGTTGTGAAGATACTCCTTCTCATTCATACATTTTCTAAAATTATAATTATTGTTATTCATTAATGATTTATCTTAACAATCATCATCATTTTCATTGTTATTATCATTATTCTCCTCGGCTGGTAGTGCGCAGCTCCCGAGGAGACACCGCTGGCCTCGGGAGTGGCGGTTATGTGAAATGATGGAATGGAATGAAATACATACACTGCTGAGATGCATATCAGAGTTAGCCACTAGTTGGCAGTAAGAAGCCCTTTTAGTTACTGAACTGACTAAGTCGCCATCTGTTGCATAAAAACATCGATCGACTTTCCCTCCTGGAAACTACGAGATATGGGTTTTTAACAGGTATGGTACGGACCTGCCGCCATAGACGCCGCGATGGCCGAATGTTGAGGGTGTGCGTACTACGAGACGAACTTTGTGCGCGAGGTCGCCACCAGCCGCCTCCACCACCTTCAGCATCAGCTGAGCAGCCTCCCAGCCCTCAGCAGCATCGATCGATCAGGTTAATGCCTTACAAATCCTAGGTTATATAGTACAGTGCCCACTCCACATGTAGTTAGTGTGCGCTCTATCCTGCCATGCATATGCGGATTTTTTGTTTCCTCGGCGGGGGTAGGGGGGCGACAGCCCCTTATGGGAGGGTCGAAGGGGGCGCATCCCCCTGCAGTGAATAATGATGTGAATTATCATCCTTATGTTGTGTGTGTTATATTATCATTGTTATTTAACCCAGCATTTTCCCTGGAACCTTTCTTGCCCTCCCTTGCGCGGAAACGGGAGGTTTCCGCGCAATAAAACCTGCATATTTGCATTGTAGGCAGTGAGAGGAATCTAACGATACCAAAATCGTCGATGTCCACTTAGCGGACGTAACATAGAAAATTACCGTCTTTATGAACACATCTAGCTTCCCAACTGCCCTAGACATTTCAAAACTTTATATTAAAAAAAAAAAAAAAATATATATATATATATATATATATATATATATATATATATATATATATATATATATATACTTTCCTCATATTCAGATCACTGAAACACGTTCCGGAAATCCTCGCTGCCTCAACTCGCAACACTCGAATATGAAATTCAATGCTGACTATGAAAAGGGCGGAAATGGGGCATGGACATTCATCTTTCTGGAAACCGCTTTGGCATTTCAAAGTGCAGAAAACACAAACGGAATCTGGTCAACACGCTCACACTCGAACTGGACATACATGACTTCGGGACTTTTGGTCATCCTTAACCTCCTCTACAATAACGGCTTCCCAAACATTTTACCGATACATACATCGGTAAATCTCAGAACATTATAAACAATAAACATTCAACATTACGGTACGAAGAAATTACTTTACTCTCCCATCATTAACAACAGACCACCCAGCCTCCAGTTAAAGCAGAAAGTACTCATATTATCAGTCAATTCTACCCGCATATCAAATTAAAGTTATTTTCAGAACAAAGAACACTATCCAAAATCTGTTCAAATTCAAAGATACAATACCAACTGAATTGTCCCAATATTGTCTTCAAACATGTGATAGTTGTAGGGTATCATAGTTTTGGCAAAACCACCAAGCATCTCACAAGGACTGGATATTTCCAATCTAACTGGCATCCCAAATGATCAAACCACCCTTTCCGGCAATCAGGGGCACGCAGATGACTGACCCCCCTATACATCGCAAAGATTTTCAGTCTTGGCAAGCGCTCCTTACCACCAGCAACTCCTTATTATGGAGAGCATACTGGCATCCATCCATAAACTAAGGCTCAGCAATCATGAAAGGTCTGCCCGCTGTTGTGGTTTTGAATCATGGTCTACTGGCTGTAGGCAGTGCCCTTGTAGTTGTTTATTTTATTTTTCTTGTTCGTTCTGTTTAATTTTTTTTTCAAGTATTTTCCATGTTAGTAGAATTCTTACGTTTCTTTCTGTATTAGTCATTTAATATGATGTTCACTTTTTTCCTTTGTTTACTTTAGTTTTATCCTGTGATTTTTATTGGCTTATTTTTGTTTATTGTTAATAAGTCCCTTTTTAGGATTTTTAGATTATTCTATAGTAATCCATAAATTGGACTTTCTCCCAGTAGACTGGCTTGTAAATGAATTTATGTTAATCAATCGGAGAGATCGTCTAATAAATGCGATGGTCCAACCCCTGGTGTTTCTCTTCTTTATTATAAGCATTGAGATCTTTATTATCTTTATTATTATCATTAACATTAATGTCATCATTACAGTTACTATTGCTGTTATCTTTACGGTCATTATTATCATTATTATCATAATCATCATTACAATAATCAATTAGTTTAACCATTATCATTACTATTATAATTACTATTATCACTATTAACTTTACCAAGGAGGTTATGTTTTTGGTAGCGTTGGTTTGTTCGTTGGTTAGCAGATCGGGCGAGGGCGTGTGAGGGTGGATGTGGAAGGGTGTGGAAGAGCGTGGGTGGGCGAGAGAGGGCAAGGGCGCGTGAGGGTGGGTGTGGACAGACGAGGTGGCGTGAGGGTGGGTGTGGGCGGGCGAAGGCGGGAGAGGGCTGGCGTGTGCGGGCGAGGGCGCGTGAGGGTGGATGTGGGCGGGCGACGATAAGCGAGGGCTGACATGGGCGGGCGAGGGCTGGCGTGGCGTGGGCTGGCGTGGGCAGGCGAGGGCGCGTGTGGGGCGGGCGAGGGCGCGTGTGGGTGGGCTAGAGCGCGGGCGGGCGGGCGCGTATATCTCCCGATGGTTCCCATCAGAGCTGCGACCATATATTTTCACGCCCTTCTGGATCTTTTAGCAATTATTTGATATATATTGTGGCTTGCAGCAGGATTTATGGGGCAGTCTGTCATGCTGAAATTGTTGTCGCCTTCAGAAGAATGTCTGCGCCGCGGCGAGTCTCGCTGAGCGGATGTTGCGGGCGGTGTTGTGCGTCGGAAGGAACCCGACGGTTCCATTTTTGCTGCTGTTGGCTTTGATGTTGTCTTAATCATTATTGGTATTATTTCTGTTTTTTATCATATAACCATCATCATTTTTTCATTGCTATTGTTATTATTACTATTACTAACATTATTATCATTACTTCTGGTGTTATTATAATTTTCATTACCATTATCATCATTACCTTTATTATCACTGTTATGTTATCAGAATTACTTTTTATTGTTATCATTATTCTAGTAATCTTTATCATTATTATTATTACATTATAATTTTTAACATTATTGTTATCATTATTATTATTATCATTGTCCTCATGTTTTATATTATTTATTATATTATTTGTTATCATGTTGTAATATTAGTATTATTACCATTACTATTATTATTTATCATTATCATTATTTTACTTCCATGATCATTATTATCCTCATTAGTATTATCATTATCATTATTACCAGTGTTGCTATTACATTTTATCATCATTATCATTACATTATCATTATTATTATTATTATATTATTATTATTATTATTATTATTATCGTAATTATTATTATAATTATCCTTACTGGTTTTACCATTATCATTATCAATATTGTCATTGTTATTATTATTATCATTACTATTATTATCATTATTATTTTCCTCATATGTTAATAATAATATTATCATTGCTATTATTATCCTCATATTTTGGTATTAATAGTAGTATTATAATATATTTTTTTATTATTGTTAATAATTATCATTATTATTGTTGTTGTTGTTGTTGTTGTTCTTATTACTATTATTTCTATTATTATCATTCCTTTTATTATTATCATTATTATTGTCATCGTTATTACTACAGTTATTATTATTATCATTATTTTATTCACTATTGTTGTTATTGATGTATATTGGTTGTTATTGCCATTATTGTTATTATTGTGTGCTGTGCTGGCACAGCGGTAAGGTGCTTGTCTAGCAATCTTGCGGACCTGCGTTCAATCCCACGCCCGGCCAGTGAGTGGTATCCCCGGCCATTCCTTGCACACAGGGGGAGATTTGGGCAAAATAAAACAGACAGCATGTCACAGCAAAGAATATCCATTGTAACAAATGGAATCAAAACTAAATCTTTTAATCTTTTAATCTTTATTGATATCATTATCATTATCATTTAATATTATCATTATTATTATCAACATATGTAATATGATCATTCTTATTTCTATTCTTATTCTTATTAGTGATATTATTACAGTTATTGATATTATAAATACTTTTATTAATCCTTATTATCATTGTTATCATTAGCGTCACTATTATTAACTTATCTGTATATATATATATATATATATATATATATATATATATATGTGTGTGTGTGTGTGTGTGTGTGTGTGTGTGTGTGTGTGTGTGTGTGTGTGTGTGTGAATGTATTTGCATGTAATGCATATAATACGTAGACATACAGTACAATCTTGCTATTTTCGATTTTATTTATGGACATATAACCTTTATTTCTTTTCTTTTCGAATTTATGGAAAGAGCTTTCTTGAACTCGATAGCAAAGCTAAGGTTCGATCGCAAAACATTTTCTTTTTTTATCATAAAAATTCCTGTGCATTCAGTCGTCATGCCAGGACGCCCTTGGCCTTGTCCGTCGTGGGGTTGCTGGCGTTGCATGATTTGCAATATGAAAGACAGAACTCGACTAATCTTCAGTCTCACTATGTGGGAAATTTGCATTCAATGTTACATTCTTAATTTCGTTTTAGTAATAAGCATGCCATGAAATTTCTTGAAAAACATATCACTGGATTTCTTTATAAACAAGAATGTCCAGACACGTGATTCAAGTCAAGGTTCATGGATGATTCACAGAAACCACTGGCGGATCTAAATAATTTTGAAGGGGGGGGGGGGGGGGGATGTCGGCCTACCGAATTTGAAGATTTATTCTGATCTCTTATTTTGACCTTCAGCTGTTGGAAGCTTTATTCCATCAATGTATTGGTTCTTCCAATGCCCTCGGCAGACTGTGGACACCTGACCGATCCGAGTTTCACAAATGCGTCCAAACTCTTGAAAGGAAACGCACGTGGTCTGTGTGATCTGTTCCAATCTCTGGGACGCGAGCTTAGTCAGACAGGGACGAGGTTATCATCAATCGTTTGCAGTAACACGAACACATGCCGTCGTTTTAATTAGAAAATTGCATATTTAATTACATTCGACATTGTGTATATCTAGAAGTGTATATGCATACGCAAATTACATATATAATGGAAATATACATTTATAAAATTCTTTATGCACGTTACATATATGCAAATGCATAAAATATAATTTATGTCTATACACACACGGGTACATATATATATATATATATATATATATATATATATATATATATATATATATATATATATGTGTGTGTGTGTGTGTGTGTGTGTGTGTGTGTGTGTGTGTGTGTGTGTGTGTGTGTGCCTCTGTATATACACATATATATTTATATACTATACATATACATAAACATACATATATATATATACAGATTCATTTATATATACATAAGTATGCATAATGCATGTGTGTGTGAATGTGTTTGTGTGTGTGTATATATATGTGTTTATTTACGTATGTAATGTATGTTATGTATATATATATATATATATATATATATATATATATATATATATATATATATATATATATATATATATATATATCACATATATATGCATATATATACATACATATGCATATATATATATATATATATATATATATATATATATATATATATATATTATATATTTAATTGCATATATAATATATAATTATATGATATATAGATATATTAGATATATAAATACGTATGTGTACAAATTGCATATATATTGGTGATCAGGGTTTGTGTAGTTTCCCTTAACTGTATGCCAGTACATGCTAATGGTGGTGTCTAAAAGTATAATGTCTCCACTTTTATGAAGAGAATCTCGAATCCAAAAACGAAAAGCTCCTTCACAAGCTGTTTCGAAGGACACCGTCCGTACATACGTCCTGGTTGTTGCGAATGCAGTATTATCTGCAATGTTTACTTTGCATGAACTGCAAAATATATCGGTGAAAGGTTCTCTCAGCATTACTTAGCCTGGAGAAATACCTACTCATCTAGCATCATATTGAACTAATATAAGAGGAAATACACGAATAAGGAAAACCCCGACAATTGGAAATATACTTATATGCAAATATCATTTATATGTATTACACATATATGTATTTATGTATGCATATATATGTAGTGTATATATTTATACAAATACGTTGTGTGTATCTATATATGTATGCATATAAATGTACACATATAATGTTTATACATATATACATGTTTTTATATGTTTATAAATACATATGCATATGTGTGTGTGCACGTGTCTATATATATATATATATATATATATATATATATATATATATATATATATATATATATATATATATATATATATATATATATATATATATATATATATATATATATATATATATATATGATATATATATATATATATATATGCAATGCCTCTTTTCGAGAGAAGGGCACTACAAGGTTATAATCGCTTCAGTAGGTGCTGTTAAGTCATTGAGATGCTAAAGTGTAGAAGAGTATGCTTCTAACTGGAAGTTTTTGCCCATGTTTAAAGTGTGGTGGAACAGGTCGGGGTCCTTGTGAGATTTGGGGGACGTAACCCCTCTGGCCCCTGCCATCTACGGCCTAGTGACCCCTAGATCTGGGAAACCTCGATATTAAGGTCTAGATATTTCGGGCTTGGCGCTGGGGTCTAGCGAGAGACAATGAAATGGTAGGAGAAAAGTGACGAAATTTGCACCAGTGTTCATTGGCTACATGCAAATGCTTCTTCATAGTGGATCGCCATGGCACTGAACGGTCGGCTTCAAAGCCGGCATCGAAAATCTGAAATAATTCTCACAACTATAATAATAGCTTGTATTCAACGAAGTCGATTCATTATCACAGCTGACATAAGCTGCGTTTTTACTCTTTTCTTCGACCACATCAGTTGGGGTAAAAAACAAAGCAAGAAGAAAACAAGTCTTTTTGTGGTATCATTCTTTATTTATTTTACTTTTTTTCAAAAGACCAAACTGGATCAATGAATCCTTCTAGTGCCCTGAAAACGTATCACGTGACCACAGCAGGACTGGTGAAGTCAGTTCATGACGTCATGTGCTTCCTTGCATATATAAGCTTGCGGGCACATTTGTATCTCACACCTCTCTTACGCCAAGGTGAGTCATATCACGACACAGGTAAGCCATGAGTATGTCTGGTGACTTTTCGGGAATGGACTGGAGTTCATGTATTTTAGCGTCGATGTTGCTTTGTGCAAGACACTCGATGGAAAAGTCTTTGATCTGCATTAGCAATAATATCCTCTCACCTTTCACGAATTTTTCAACCCACAGACTTACTTCCACCATGAAGACATTGACGATCCTGCTGCTGGCGGCAGTCGCTGTAGTCGCGAGCGGAATGATAAGCGACCATAGCATAATCGACCGCGCTTTCATTGTAGGTGCGTCAGTCATCGGCGAACACGATGAGAACATTTTCAAAGCAGATACGACTACTGGCGAATGCCTTTAGCTTTTCCTTTTGGATGAATTCAGATTTCCACCACTTCTTTCCAGGCCGAATATATTGCTCGGAGATTGTTTTGCCATCCGACGACGAAATGATTAGCATTAAAGAAAAAATGAAGGAGTGTCTAGAAAATGAAGGTCACGCCCATCTGAGTAAGATTTTA